CCATAGGTTAGGGGTTGAACATATCTTTTGGGGTGGGCACAGTTTAATCCACCACAGAATTTCAAAATAATTTGTACATTGTTTGAGGTATCATTTAATTAGTTCAGTTCTTTCCTTGGGTTTGAAAGGGTACATTTTTGTTTGTCAGCTTTGGTTTCACTAATTATAGTTCACTAAAAGCTTCAAATCTGAAAATGCTCTTTTCTCTTTTTGATCTATTTGCTCAATAGTGGATTAATAATTTCTAACAGATTTTAAGCAAAATGCAACAATTTTAGATCTTTTAGGCTGATTTACAAAATATTTTTTAAAAAAATTCTTATTTCTAAAACTTGGTAAGGCAACAAAGAGAAAAGAATACTTTCTAGGTGAAAGTATTATTTCAAGCATATTTATGCATCATAATTTTCTTCATACTGAAAGTAGATGATGGCCTCCTATCACTAATACTAGATTGGGATTCCTCCTTTGAGAGTATTGGGCCTAAATCTGAGGTTCTTAACTGAGGCTCTGTAGACCCGTGTTAATAATAAACTGTGGGATTTTCAGATCTACCTATAGAATATCTCAACAAATTCCTGATAACTCTTTAACAAGTCTGTTTTATCAATTGTGAGTCTTGTATTTTGTGACATTAGAGCTCTGACCTTATGAATAGATTAATATTTTGTCCCTGTAATGAAAAGCTAACAGATAGGAAAACAAAAATGTGTGTGTGTGTGTGTGTGTGTGTGTGTGTGTGTGTGTTTTCAAATTCTAGAGCTACTGAACATTTTGGAATACTGAAACAAACCTCCAAAATTCCAAGAAATCTTCAAGAGCAAACTTGATCAAACAGAAGAAGAATCAGTAAACTCAAAGACATGTCATTCAAATTTACCCAATTCAAGATGTAAGAGTGAGGAAATAGTACTTAGGAGATACTGTCAAGTGAACTAATATGCAAATTATGGGAGTCTCAGAAGGAGCAGAGAAAGAAAAAGGGCAGAAAGTTTATTTAAAGAAATAATGATATAAAACTTCCTAAATTGTGTAGAGGAATTCAATAAGTTCAAAGAACCACAAATAGATTAAGTACACAGATACATTATAATCAAAATTCTCAGTGAATTCTGAAAGCAGCAAAAGAAAAGTAACTCTTCACATAAAAAGGAATTCTCCATAAGGCTATCAGCTTGAGAAGAAAAAAGCAAGAAAGGAACAAAGAATAAAAGATATACAAATCAACCAGAAAATAATTAACAAAATGATAGTAGTGACTCTTTGCCTATCAGTAATAATCTTGAATGCAAGTGAATTAAATTGTCCAAACAAAAAAATGCAGTGATTAATGAATAAAAACCAAGGTTCAACTATATTCTGCCCACAATAGACATATTTTAGTTTTAAGTATAAACGTGGGTTGAAAGTGAAGTGAGGAAAAAAGATACTCTATACAAATGGTAACCAAAGGACATAAGGGATTATTATACTTTGACAAAATAAATCAAATGAGGCAAAGGAGATCATTACATAATAATAGGAATCAATTCTCCAAGAGTATAGGATGCTTGTAAATGTGTAAAATAAATATCTACAGAACTAAAGAGAGGAATAGAGATCAATATAATAATGATAAGGAACTTCACTACCCCACTTTTAAAAATAGATAATCCAGATGGAAAATCAAAAGGGAACAGTGGTCTTGGACAACAGTATAGACCAAGTTAACCTAACAGATATACAGGACATTCCATCCAACAGCCATAAAAATACACATTCTTCTCAAACACATAGGATAGATCATGTTAGGTTATCAAAAAAAAAAAAAGATTTAGCAAATTGAAGATGATTGAAATCTTATCAAGTATTTTCTTACCACACTGATGTGAACTAGGTATCAATGAGAGTATGTAATAGAAAATATTACAGATATGTGAAAAAAGGAAAAGAAGCCTCAAAGTTGTAAACTAAAGAGATGATATTACAAGATTACCACTGATTCCACAGAAATATAAATGATCATAAGAAACTCCTATAAACAAGTATACATCAACAAATTGGATAACCTAGAAGAAATGAGTGAATTCTTAGAAATATACAACTTATGAGACTGAATCATGAAGAAATACAGGCTATGAGCGGGCCAATAATAAGAGACTGAACTCGGTAATAAAATGCCCTTTAATAAAGAAAACCCTGGGCACCTGATGGCTTCAGTGGTGAACACTATCAAGCTTTAATAATAATACCCTTTTAAATTTCTTCAAAAAATGGAAGAGGGAGCATGTCCAAACCCATTTTACAAGGTCAACATTACCTCTATAACAAAGCCAGACAATGTCATCACAAAAAAGGGAACTACAAGTCAATGCTCCTGATGAACCTCCAGTACTGTCTAATGCACCAGCATCCCTTACTTGGAATACACTGGTCTCAGTGGGCATCTCCTTCTCTCCTTGTGATTTTATAAATCTACCCTCCATATTTTCACTAGATTTCATTTTCAAAAAGAAAATCAGTTCATGTCATTCTTCTCAAAATCTCTAAATGGCTGCCTGTCTCACAATAAAAGCCAATCTCCTTTTAAAGACTTGCAGGGCCTTGTATGACCTGATATCTAGCTACTTCTCTGACTTCCTATCTTTTCCTGGTTCATTTGTTCTCCTCACTATAGCAACTCTTGCTGTTCCTCCAACATGCCAGCACACTCCTGCCTATGCTATGTGCTTCCCTGGGCCTAATATTCTTTTCATACACTACTTATTAGTTTTATTTATTTCTGTTCCAATATCACCTTTTTTTTAACAGTATCACCTTAACCATTGATACAAAATAATTTTGGCCCTCAAATGGGTCCTTTCCCTCTATTATGTCACACATGATATATTAAATATTTACTTAAATTTTTTTTCATGTCTTCTTTAACTGGAATATAGTTTCCATGTAAGTGATGCACTTTACCCTTTTAGCTTTTCAATAGTATGCATATTGAAAAGTCTCATTTTTTTATGCACTACATTCTGTGATCCAGAAAATGTGTTTTCAGTTCTTCTAGCATATAGACTGATGTAGGCATTCTCTCATGGGGCCTCTGCTAATTCTGGGTAGCTTCATTCTGTTTCTTATTGTTTCTACAGAAGTAGGCTTGGTTGGGCTCTGAGGTGACTGAAGGAATCAATGCAAAGGACCAGTTACTAATGAAAATTCTCAGAATCTCAATTCTTAATTTACTCACAAACACCAGCTAGGCTATATCATTTCAGTTATACATAGTAATCTGATTTAACATCTTAATGCTTTATTGTAAAGGAATCCCTTCCACATTCTCAGACTTAACATAGGATGTAGTCGAATTTAATTTGTATATAGTTGTTTCGTCTCTTTGGAAGCTAGGAATCAGTTTATGCCATTGTCATTTCTGACATCCTCCGGGTCACATGTCTTCATAGCATCTGGTCCATAATTACCCTGGACCATGTTTAGTGACGGACAGCTTCATAGTAGTCTATGAACAAATTATTGTGTTTAACAGAGAATCAATTAATAGCATCAACAGCAACATTTCTATTTATATGCTATAAACATAAGACAGAGACCAAGTGTTTTGTATTTTAAAATATAAATGTGTTCTTTACTGTGAGAGTGAATTATCTGTTAGCAGATAAACCTGCTTCTGTAAGAATGTTTTATCCTAACTGAATATTGCTGACACAAATTAATTTATTAAAAGTGTTTACTTTTTTACTGTCTCTTAGAAAAGAATTGTGCTGTAATTATTTATCATATCTGCAACCCTTAATATTTGCTAATATAGAAGGTAATTTATATTTTAGTATTAAAAGGCCACTTAAATAAATTCATAAAATATGGGAAACAAAAATTCATAATGAAAAAAGTTTATTAATTTATCTTTAAAAATAAAACTCAAAATTAAGCATATTTATTTTAATTTGATTTAGTCTATAATTATAATAAGCATGACAAGACTGACAGCTTAAGTCAGGGTGTTGATCAGGGTGATAGAATAAAATTATTCCTTGGAGAAGTTAAAAGAGTTGTATAGCATGGTGCTCATGGCTTCAGGCTCTTATATAGGATGTATTAAGCAAGAGTGAACTGATTTAGCCTTAAGGCCACAAGCTTTGGGGGCTACTTATACACAACATGGAGCACAAGTTTGAAATTAGGTGCTAGTTTTAACTAAGCTCTGATGATTTATCTCTTTAGAAAGAATATATAATATAGCCAATATTATAGTACAGATCTTGAGTATGTGGCTTGACAATTAAAAAATGTATATGAATGAAAGTTATAAAGAAATGTATAAAATAGTTTTTTTGTCTATTTAGGCTGCTAAACTAGCATACCATAAACTTAGTGGCTTATGAACAAGAGAAATTTATTTCTCAAGTTCTGAAGGCTGAAGTCCAAGATTAAGGTACCAGGAGATTTGGTTTGTAGTAAGGACCTCCTCCTTGATTCATGCATAGTTATCTTCTGTGTGCTCACATGGAAAAATAAGACCCTCTCTAGTCTCATTCATGAGGACTTCATCCTTTTGACCTAATCACCTAACAAATGACCCACCTCCTAATCCCATATCATTGGGGGTTATGATTTCAACATACAAATTTTGGGGAAAGACAAACATTTCCCCTATAGGGGGTGGATTATAAAGTAGAACTAAAAAGCAGAATTGGAATCCTTCACAAAATTACAAATATATTTATGAATCCAAAGAGTGTTCAATATAATTGAGAAAATCAAATTTTGGATGCTTATCCTTGTTTTTTTCATTCTTGTACCTTAAATCTATGCAGTGGAATGAATGAAATATTTTTTAGCAAGAGTGAACTGATTTAGCCTTAAGGTCACAAGCCTGTGGGGCTACTCATACATAACATGGAGCACAAGTTTGAAGTTAGGTGCTGGTTTTAACTAAGCTCTGATGATTTATCTCTTCAAAAAGAATATATATGCATTTTTAGTATTAAAACTTTTTGTTTCATTTTCCATAGATATGAAGCTGTTGTCATCTCAGGAACTGAAATGGCCAAACAAATCCAGAAAGAAATACATCAAGGTGTGGAATCATGGATTGCCCTTGGGCACAGAAGACCTCACCTCAGTATCATTTTAGTGGGAGACAACCCAGCAAGCCATACATATGTCAGGAATAAGATAAAAGCTGCCTCAGCAGTAGGTGGGTATGTGTTTAAATTGGAATTATTGTTTAGTGTTTTTACTTAAAAGTGTGATCATTATAAATGATGATTATCAAATAAGCATCATTTGAATAACATGTATCATTAGAGATTATCCAGTTACCAAAGTTTATGTTAATCTTACTAGTTTTCTTCTGATTTTTTATGGAATGAATTCAACGTGATTTCATATTTTATGGGAGATGTGAGAGGAATACTTAATATTAAAAGGGCCTACATATTCATTACATTTGCTTTAATGAAATAATAACCTCCCTTACTCTGTTCTAGTTGGCCTAATAGTGTTGGTGGTAGTGGTATTTTTACTCTTGTTAAATATATTAATAGTAGGTTGTATCAAATTAGTGCAAATTGTCACCTGGGATACTAACCAAAGAATGCGTGTGAATCATGAGAAAACATCTGATCTATTTGCGAAATCCTACCCTATGATATGTTGAACACTGTCTTTGTATGAGGGGCTTTCCCTCCAGTGGGATGGGTGCATAGGAAATGAATCACACACTGTAGAACCATATTTTGGTTAGGTAAGTGATTTTGCTTATTTTTCTTCCAGGTATCTGTAGTGAGCTCATTCTAAAACCTAAGGATGTTTCTCAGGAAGAACTTTTGGATATAACTGATCAATTGAACATGGACCCAAGAGTCAGTGGTATATTAGTTCAGTTACCGCTTCCAGGTACATAAGGCTCTTCCATATGTCTGGTTTGTCTAGGATAAAGGGTATCTTTCAACATAATATCATAAACCTACAGGTAATTTATGCAATATATTCAGAAGGATACTAACTATTATACTAATGGTGGGGTAATAGGTAACAACTTCTGAATCATTTATGGTGACATTGATGAAAACCTATGAAAGAAAAATTTAGGCATTGGCAATACCCACACTTCTTGCTTTGCACAATAGTGTACAACCATAAAAATGACTGTGTACACTAAAATCAAGCAATATAATCTTAATAATCAATAAGAAACAATAATTTTTCTGTGACTTTAACATTTTTTCTTAAATTCTTACAAACTGTCTTAGTATGGTTTATAAATATAGTGAAATAAAAAGTGAAACTATTTATTCAAAACACTAATTTAACATTAGCAACATTGAGAATTAAAGTTTTTTTTTGTTTTGTGCTTGTTTTATAAAGGGTAGTGTATAGTATGAGCTTGGCATGGTGACATAAGTCTGTAATTCCAGTTACTATGGGGATCTAGGTAGGAGGATGGCAAGTTTGAGGACAATTGAGGCAACTTAGTGTCTCAACATAAGAGGGACAAGGGATATAGCTTAGTGGTAGAGCACTTGCCTAGCATGTGTGAGACCCTCACTTTGATCTCCAGTACTGGAAAAAACAAAAAAGAGTAGTTTGAAGTTTGAAGTGCTTATCCCTCATTACACAACTTATGATGTGGAGCGAACATCTTTTCAATGCTATGGCAAATTGAACTGTCATATTCCTGTCCAAGTTTTGATCAGCTTCCAACATTTTATCCTTTATACTTTCAATGTTATGAAATATTGCTAATAGTTCCTTTAATGTGAAATTTTATGCAGTTATCATTTCCTCTGGGACACCATCATCCTTTTTATCACACTTCCTATGTTTATGTCAATCAGTTCACCTTCACTAAGTTCCTCTGGATGCATAGCCAAATCTCTGCAAAGGATGCAATGTCAGCATTCCATAGTCAATTTACAGTCAATTAGAACTCTGTGGAAGTGGCTTTTCAATATTGTTCTTGCTTTCACTTTATACAGGCCTCTGTCTCTCCTATCTTTGTTTTGCTGTTACCATTTTTCAGATCTACTACCCATTTCACTTTTAGTATTATCATTTTATGAGTGTTCACTGAACCTTCATCTTTATAGGTCAATGCCCTTTGTTAGTTTTCCACTTTGTAAAATGTCATATGGGTTTATCTGTCTGGGAGGCATGGTGACAACATACTTTGGTTTCCCATGTTTTAACTGGGTAAAAACATGAGGAAAAAACATGCAGTATCCATTCTCCAGGGGTCTTTGAAAGAAGTGGTATGATTGGTCAGCGATCATGATGCTGATCTGTTATTTACATAGTAATTATGGACTGAACAACCAGTAGCTGTTATGTAATTACAGTTAATATAGAATGATAGCTGAAATTTGAACTATGTTGTTGTTGGAGGAATGGTATCACTTAACTAAATTGAGGTTCTGAAATTTGTGCATATTTGAATTGTGCAAGTGAGGATTGCTATAATAGAGGTTAGTTTTTACAGTTTCAAGTTATGTAAGTTTTTATCAACAATTTTATGATGGGCAGAAAGTAAAGTTATATGATGTTTTTATATTTTCTTTAATGATATAACTTAATATCTTGGTATACATGATACATTTTATGGTGTTTAAATTATATCAAAATTCATACTTTTAATTATTTTTCTCCAATCTAGTGGCACTTAAAAATAGTAAAATTGGAAAGGATCATAGAATTTATCAAGGTTTCCTTCTGAGAAAAATTCTGAAATAGATAATGCTGTATATTCTTCATGTTAATGTAGTGTTATATCACTTCCTTTTAAAACTAGGTGAAGAATTCAACACATGCAATACTCCCATTTCATATTCTAGATAAATGAGATTTAGAGAAGATTAAAAGTTCATTAACATTATAAATCTTCCCAAAAAGTTTTGTTGGTGTTTGACAGTTGTTTGGCTTATGCAAAAAAAAAAAAATACTTTTGGCACTGTATTTGCTAAGCAATCATTTTATAGCTTGCAGTTGTTGAAACTTCCTCCACTTGCATTTTTACAATATTTAAATAGTTTTACAAGACATATAACAATACTAACTCTTAAAATGCCCATACTACTCCAAGTGATCTATAGAGTCATTGTAATACCTATCAAAATTTCAGTAGTACATTGCATAAAAATAGATAGTACAATCCTAAAGTTCATTTGAAACTATGAAAGACCCTGAATATCCAAAGCAATTCAGAGCAAAAGGAACAAAGATAGGCCTCATGCTACTTGATCTCAAAATCAACTACAAAGCTATAGTACTCAAATCAGCACAGTACTTGCACAAATAGGTATGCATAGGTCAATAAAACAGAATAGAGAGCCCAGGAATAAATTCACATTTAAGGTCAACTATTTTTGACAAGAGCACACATTAGAAAAGGACAGTCTCTTTAAGAAATTAATCAAAGACTTAAATGTAGACCTGAAACTGTAAACTGTAAAGAGAAAAACTTGGGGAGGGGGAAGCTTCTTGACATTCTTCTGGGCTCTGAGTCTTAGATGTGACCCCTAAGCACAGGCAATAAAAGCAAAAATACATGAATGGGATTGTATCAAACTAAAATGCTCATGCACAGAAAAGGAAACAACAGAGAGGAGACAACATATAGAATGGGAAAAATATTTGTAAATCACACACATGATAAGGGGTTAATATAAAAAATGCAAGCAACTCACAAAACTCAATAGCAAGGAAACAAATAACCTGATTAAAAAAATGGACAAAGAAACTGAATAGTCATTTCCAAAAAAACCCATAAAAATAGTTAACATGTATATAAAAAATGCTCAATCACACTAATCATTAAGGGAAAGTAAATTAAAACTATAATGAGATATTGCCTCCTACCTGTTAGGATGGCTATTATCATGAAAACAAAAGATAGGTGTTGATAAGGATGTGCAGAAAAGGGCACCAGGATGAGGAGAAAAGGAAACTGACCTGTGTTTTTGTTGAGAATGTGAATTGGTACACTCATTATAGGAAACAGTATGGAGGTTCTTCAGAAGTTAAAAATAAAATTACCATATGATCCAGGAGTCCCCCTTTTAGGTGTATAACCAAAGGACATGAAATCAGTTTGCCAAGGAGACCTCTGTATTCTCATATCCACTGAAGGATTTTTTTATAATAGCCAATATATAGAATCAACCTAAATACTTATCAACAGATAAATGGATAAAGAAAATATTGTGTGTATACTATGGAATGATGTTGAGTCACTGAAGAAGAAAATCCTGCCATTTGTAATAACATGAAAGAATATGGAGTACATTATGCTAAGTGAAATAAACCAGGCAAAGAGAGACAATTACTGCATGATCTTATTAAGGTGTAGAATCTAAAACAAGTCAAACCCATAGAAATACAGGGTAGAATGTGGTTACTGTGATGGGGGCTGGAGTGTGTGTGTGTGAATGGGTGTATGTGTGTGTGTGTGTCTAGATAGGTCAAAGGACACAAAATTTCTGTCATGATGAATAAATTCTGTTGAACAACATGGTGACTATAGTGTTAATAATGTATTGTATACTTAAAAATTACTGAGAAGGTAGATTGTACATGGTCTTACCACACAAAATTATAGATTAGATATTCTAATGAGTTTGACTTGGCTAATCTGTAAAATTGTGTACATGTTTGAAAACATAATAGAATGGGAATGTAGCTCAGTTATACAGAGCTTGCGTAGCATGAGTAAGCCCTGGGGTCTAATCTCCAGCTCCATCAAAAATATATATATAGTACACCATAATACATATAATTTTTAATCTATCAATTTAAAAAATTTAAAAATCATTTTACAAACTACTACATGTAATTTCTCAGGGAGTTCTAACTGTATTAGATTTAATTTATCTTAATAAAATCAAAATTTTATCTAGAAATTTTACCCCTTTAAGAGCAACCTTCTTATTTGGGGACTTTGTTATCAATATGCCACTAGATGGCACTGGCTATCCATCTGTACTAGAAAACAAATTGAACTCTGTTCATTTCAGAGTAAGATACAATCAAAGGGACCATAGCAAATTCTAGATGCTCTGTGCAAGGGCCTTTTTCTATCTTGCTGAAAAGTCTCTCTCTATATATATTTACCTGAACACATACACACAAAATAATAGTGATGAATATTAATTGCGTTAAGCATTTATTATGTCAGGCAGTTTACATTTATTAACTCATCAAATCCTCACAATAATCCTGTGGAGTTGAAGTTATGTAAATTTTTCTGATGTGGTATTTCAGGCACAAAATGATTATATAACTTCCTTCCAGGTTACAGAGCTTCTGAGTAATTAAGCTGGAATTTGAATCCAGGCAGACTGATCTCCCATGCTAATACTTTTAGCCATCTTTGGTGCCCTCACCAGCTTATCAGTATTAACTAGTGAGTAGGATGATTGTTTGAAATGTATGTGCTAATGTTATGACTTATAATGTTCTGAAAGACAGTCTAATGTAACATGTTGCTAAAAGGCAAACTCTAGAAACCCATGGCGTGGGTTTGGATCTTGGTTCTACCATTTACTAATAGGTAATATTGAAATATTGGTCAGTTTTTACTTCACCTCTCTGTATCTTACTCTTCCTATCTATAAAATAAAAAAGATAATTCCTACAATAAGGATTTTTTGAGAATTAAATAAAATAATCAATATAAAGAAGTATCTGTTATGTAGTAATAAAAATGGATTCCCAGTTATTTTATTGTAGAAATCTGAGATTCTTTTTCACAATTAGGCCAAAGTCTTGAATAAAATAAATTCCAAACTATAGCTATAATTCTAATGTTGGGAGCACAAGGTTGCATAAGGATTAAATAGAACCTGTAATCAGTTCTCATGTACTTCAGGAGGGTAAAAGCAAAGGAATGAGATAGAATCATG